TGGAGGCGGCCGTGGTGGGAGCTAGGGCGGCAGCTACCTAGCTGGAGCTGCCTCCATCGGACCGGCACTCAAACCGGGGGTCCTGAAAGCGGCATTCCGGCAGCATCTCAATGACCCCTGGTTGGAAATCGCAGAACGGGCCGACCTGGGGAGCTTCGGGGAACCTCGGCCTTGAGGCCCGGGACAGATTCGAGGTCGCAGGAACCCCGTAGTACAAAGGAGGGAGGGTGTTACTCCAGTCGCGGCCACTCAGCTAACGGAGGTGAGAAGGGTCTAGCTGACCACTGAGTGGCCGTGAAGTTCCCTTCAACACGCTGAGGGGGGGTGTCGACCCCTGGTTTTGAAGGGGGTCCCTTCAAAACCAGGAGCACGGTGGCCGGCAGGCGATCGCCGAGCGTCGCCCCACAGAGGGCGTGGCTGAGCGCCCCCCCCCCCCCGTGGGAGTTGAGGGCCCGGCAGAGCCCCGAGAGGAAGCGCCGTTCGCATCCAGGCACAAAAGGGCATGGTGGTTGCCTTGGCAGTGCGGACAGAGCCGCTGGTGCGGGCAGTCTCGTTGGAGGTGCCTTTCCAAGCACAAGTAGCACCAGCGGCGCTCCTTGGCGATAGTTCGCCTCGCCGGGACCGGCTTACACAATAACTTCGGGCACGACGTCACCCGGTGATCGGATGCTTGACAATAGGAGCAGGGGAGCGCCTCCCTGGCCGATAGGCCGCTATAAGATGGTAGGGGGCGGCGCCCTCCCGCGGGAACTCCGCTCGGGCTTAGAGGGGTTGGCGACGACTTGCCTGGTGGATTCCGCCTCTCCCTGGGCACGGCTCGGATTACAACCCGTAGGTCGTCGACGGTGCCCGCTGCGTTCTCAATTAGCCGGCACTGCTTCCCCAAGAACTGCAGCAGCTCCCTGAAGGGCGGAATATAGGAGGCGCTGTCCCCGCCGTACCACTCCTCAAAATGGATCCGAAGATAGAGAGGCGGGCGGGACAGCACGATGTGGAGCAACAAGAAGGACCATTCGTCCACCGGTAAATGCAGCTGCTTCAACGAGTTACAGGCCACCACGACTGGATTTACGATGTCCGGACGTAGTTTGGCCCGGTCCCTAAGCAGCGAGAGGTTTAGAAGCTGTCTAACGTATTCGTCCGCAATTCGCCGGACGTTGGCGTACCTTCCGGCGAGGAGGTCCCGGGCAGTCTGGTAGGCGTCGTCCGACAATTTCAAATGGCCGACGATTCCCAGGGCCTCCCCCTCCCCTGAGGCCAGGAGGTACGCCATCTTCTGGCTTGGTGTCAAGTCCCTCCGGGCATCCACTAGGCTATCAAAAAGGCCAACAAAGGTCAGCCAGTCGGAGAGGACCCCGGAGAACCTTGGCAGGTCCAGAGTTAGGAGTCGTCCCAACAGCTCCGACTGAGTAGGCTGCTTCCGAGGGGACTCGGGCAGGCCACTCTGCCGAGCTTCACGCACTTCATCAGCATACTTGGCCCCCGCCTCGATCAAGTCGTCCATGAGCGAAAAGAATTGCTCGCAGTCCGCGAGGCAGGAGTCTAGGACTTTCTGTTCCGCATCCGAGGCCACGAGCTCACTGTAAGCCTCCTCCATTACGGCCCTTCGGGCCACGACCTGCTCGAGCCGCTTGTCTATACTATGGACCCTATCGGGTCGCCCTATCAAAGTATGGGCATTCGCGGCCCAGCGCAGCTCCGCCTGTAGGCGAATCGCCGGTGGCCTGTGCGATGACATCACTACTAAATACAAATTACTATTAAATTATTGTATTAAATTGTTGTGCAGCCTAACAGGCGTGGTTCTAACTACCGATCCGCTAACAAAACAAAAACAAAAGAAGATATTTTTTTTATTAAGACCGGGCGTGATTGGAGAAACAATCAACCACGCTCCGCTACCAGAAGTGTTACGGCCCTGAGTTGCCCCGACAGAAGTCGACTGTACTAGGGCCCATGTGTAACACACTCGATGGGCAACCAGAGGGTTCGGGCCCAAATGGCCTATGGATAATTATTATGTAGTGGGTGGATAAACAAACACAAACTTACCGAGTTCCGCAGGTAGAGTCGACCACAAGGTACCGTCAGGGATAAGTAAATGGTAGGTGTGAGTGGTGTAAGAAGGTGTGTAAATGTAACCTGACGTCACCGATGTAATCGGGCAGCAAATCTACATGCGTTGCTCTGCTCCACAATGTTCGATCACTCCAGTGGGCGTTTACCGTTATCTGAACTCAAGTCTAACGTCACTTAGCACAAAATTATAACCGAAGACGAACGCGATCTCCTCTCGGTTCACAAATTCTTAGCATTCTACCCGACAAAGGAAAAATGCCTTCGTACGATATTAAAATGCCATACAAGCAACTCGTCGGCGCAAATTAATGTCAATCGAAGTTAAGTTAATCAATCAAAACTCAAGGAAGGCCTCGTTGTCACACCTACGCCGGTAGTTGTTGGGAGCACTAAGCTCGAAGTTGTTGACGAGTATGTTTACCTGGGACAAATAGTCCGACTAGGTAAGTCCAACTTCGACCGAGAGGTCAATCGACGGATTCAACTCGGTTGGGCAGCGTTCGGGAAATTACGGCATATCTTCTCGTCAGATATACCTCAAAACTTGAAAACGAGACTGTACAACCAGTGCGTGTGGCCAGTGATGACATATGGAACTGAGACGTGGTCCTACACTGCTGTCCGGATGAGGAAGCTCAAGGTCGCTCAGCGAGCTATGGAGAGGGCTATGTTCGCAGTTTCTCTGCGTGATAAACTTAGAAATGAGGCTATCCGCAGTAGAACCAGAGTGACCGACATAGCCCAACGGATTAGTAAGCTGAAGTGGCAATGGGCCGGCCATATAGCTCGAAGAACCGACAACCGATGGGAAAAAAGTTTCTCGAGTGGCAGCTTCGTACCGGCAGGCGAAGTGTAGGGCGTCCCCCCACTAGATGGAGTGACGGCACCTGGTAAGCTTTGCAGGAAGTCGATGGATGCAGGTGGCTCAGGACCGTGCTTTGTGGCATTATTTGGGAGAGGTCTATGTTCAGCAGTGAACTTGGGAAGGGCTCTAATGATGATAATGATGATGAGATTCATCTACAAAAATCAGCCATAATGAGCACTCATTTTGAAAGTGACTATTAGTTAACGATCTCTTCGAGCAGTATATACATAGGTACCTCTGTGAAGAAGCCTAGCGGCTTGCACATAGTATTTGTTACGCTTAAAAGCAATTTAATCCAATCAGTGTTAGAAACTCAATATTTACCCTTTAAAAAACTAGCGTTGAAAATAAGCATCCAGACGCAGACTATTTATTTTACAGCATAGCAACACTTGTTCAGTGCGGGAACGAACCATCGGCCCTGCAGTGCCGCAGCCAAACGCTTAGCCACTGCGCTACGGAGTCGTCGATTATTTTTTACTTAAAGAATTACTAGTGTAATAGGGCGTTTTTTATTTTATATTTTCTTTACACGTATTTTTGTACCTAATAATTGTAGAGATATAATTACAAATTGCTGTGTGTAAAATACATTGCTTTCTTATCCTCATTGGCATTTTTACTCAACCTCCAGGTTAAAAAAATATTTGTAATGAATAATTGAGTATAGATATTTAACTTTTATTACCTATGTAAAAATATCGATAAACAATATATCGATAAACGTTATAACGATAAAATTATTCGAGGATAGACATTTACAGCACTATTATAATACGCCATGTGGTCAGCACTGTTTTTCAAAAATTAAATGTCATGTCTTGATGTTGGTAGACTAGCTTAACGTCCTTTCATACATTTACTTTTTCTTAGGAAATCCCGCCTCTCAAACGTAGTGATTATATTCTCTTTGAACGTATCCAGTGGTAGGTATATACATTTATTAAACAGCCTCAACGCTATATCATTTTGAGTAGAACTACTCCATAGTGTACATTTTATTAGGTGAGCAACATCCAGCGTGGAGCGGCGGAACCGTCCAGCATACCAGCAGCCTCACTCTATGAAATTAAGAAAGGATTCTCCCGACGAATAGTACTCGTAAGTGATCGAGAGGTAGTAAGTAAAATATAATACTCAAAGACCCCACATCCCACAGATCAGGCCGGGTTGAAGTTCTAATACCTGGAGGACGGGGTACAAATGGACCAATATGACACCAAGATCCTTAAAATATTCACAGACGGCAGTAAAATAGAGGGAAAAGTCAGCGCGGAGTTATCCATTTAGAATGAGTACCCGAAAATCGAAATCATGCAACCCCGCCTTTTTACTTCAAAAAGGAGACGGTACTCATTTCGACTGTTTTTTTTATCTGTGTTACCTCATAACTTTTTACTGGGTGAACCGATTGCAATGATTAAAAGCTGATGCTTCACATGCGGTCCCATATAAATTTTATCAAGTTCTGGCTAATAGTTTTTGAGTTATTCTAATTAATTTATATTGAAGTCGGTTGTACAAAATTTTTTATTTCAAATTATTATGAAACTCAAAATGATATATCGCAAAATAATGGATTCCGAAATTATCAACGTTGATTATCAAATTATCTTATATAGATATATTTTTTTTAGTTCCTGGTGGAAGGTGGCGCACCATGGGGTTTTATTCAGTGCAAGTCCGACATAATCCGTCCTTGCCCCCCGCGAGGTGGGTATATGTATATTTATATGCACGTGACCTCAGACCGGTGACGGGTATTGCGTAACAACGTCAAATGTGCGAAATGTCTGGTGCTGCGATCCTCAACTCGCCAAGCATGACGGAAAAGGGGGAATCCAACAATGGACTTTTATAAGCTAATGAAGAAGAAAAACCTCTCGAAATAACTTTCTAATCAGATATGAAAATATTTATTTTAGCTGAATAAAATTAAAAGACACTTGATTTCGAAAATTTTATTTGTACCTACAGAGATAAAATGTTACAAAATTAAATACATCAAAAAATGTATTTGACTAAAATATAAGGTATTTTCACAGACAAAATTTTACTGATAGCGAATTCGGTTACATAAATGAAATAATGCAAGCACGAGCAGTTTGCAGTTGCGGCGTATGAGATACGGTCGTAACGCGCCAGAGCGTAGAGACTCCGACAGTGGCGGCGCGAGCGTGGTGCTGGGCGTGGGCCGCGTGCGCGTGGGCGACGGGCCGCGGGTGCGCGTCGGCGCCGCGCTCGTATTCGCACCCGCCCCCACCCCCGCACTCACCCCCGCACTCACCCCCGTACTCACACCCGTCCCCGCACCCACCCCCGCACCCGCCTCCTCGACGTACTCCGCCGTGTTGTCGCCGTACTCACCAGCCTGCATGCACATCACGCGATGCCTTAGAAATTTGTTTGTAACGTGGTAAAGTCATGCTGCAGCTATATTATAGTTGTTGCACAAATGGGTCGGCTCGGCCGGGTAAGGGCCACGCTCCCATAGAATACCAGCGTAAAATAACAGCTTAATGCTGTTGAGTTTCGTATGATGAGTGTAGAGAACAGGAGACTTTTTTTACTGGTAATGAAGCATTACATCTTAGTCCTCAGTCACCAGTCCTTAGTCCTAGGTGATGAGTGATGACGCATCTGCATTTTGATGGTTAATCGAGGATAGATGTAGATGTATATGTGGCCCCCTCCCTCCTCGAACGGGTTCCCAGCTTGTCGTGGCGAGGAGGCTTATATCTGCGTTTCTTTGTACGAATAAGTACATACGTACGCATAAAGTATCAAACAATACATATTTCTATTAATATATATTAAAGTCTTTGTTATATCAAAATGTTACTTATTAATTTTTATTTTCAATTATTATTATAAGTCGATAATAATCATGAATTGCATTAGATACTTAATTACTGAATAATAATCATTCAGTTTCGTGCATTTCATGTCATTGTGTCAATATCGTAAGTACGTATGTCAAATTAATGTCGAATATTTTCACACATTGACTACTTTATAAATAAATAAAATAAAATAAAATATCTTTATTTCAGGCAACACAGGACCCATACAAGAATGTTAGTAACAGTGAAATGAAATATAACTTAAATTATAGTGTTAGTAATTAAATTAATTTACATAAATAATGATGACAAAATGTAAATGGAGATGTTTGAGACCAGCCGCCTCGAGGGTACCGGTGACTTATACCGTGACATGTAGCCGTATCCAGCGCTCAAGCAGCGGCGAGTCCCACCTATCTGCCATTGTGTTGAGAATGCTATTGGAGCTGCCACGCAAACGTTTCAGCATCGATGCAGCACGCTTTCTAATAATGGCGTGGAAACCATCAGTGTGCATTTCAGAAAACATTACTGACGCGCTGCAAAAGCGCGGCAGCCCCATCAGCATCCTAAACCCATTATTATACTGGATACGCAACGCAGTGTACACCCGCTGCGTATAGTTAACCCATAGGTTGCCCATGAAAAAATACTGGCAGTAGGCCTTGAAAATAGTAATCTTTACCTGCCTACTGCAACGAACAAACCTACGGGCCACCATGTTACACCTGATGGACAGCGCCCTACGTTCCCGCTCGATATCCATATTATCACGCAGATCCTCGGTGACCCAGTGACCCAGATACTTAAAATGTGAGACACGCTTTAGAGGTGAGTTGTTGAGTGTGAAGGTAGTCGCACATGGTCGGGATTTCACTCCCGCCTTGAACATCATAAACTCGCTCTTTTTCCCATTGTATCTGAGTCCATGGGACACTGCAAATGCTTCACATATATTTAATAATTTCTGCATGGCACCAATCGAAGGGCTGAGTAGCACCATATCGTCTACGTAACTTATGTTGTTAACACAAACACCATCAATATGACAGCCTACATTTGTGCCGCTCAACTCCTCGATCAGGCCATTGATATACATATTAAAAAGCCTAGGAGATGTAAGACCACCTTGCCTCACCCCACATTTAAGTCTATACACACCGGAGTATGAGCTCACCCATCTAACACAGTTGGTCTGCCGTTCATACCACGATCGTAGCACCGCGACTAACTCGTGCACACATCAGTCTCACTTTGAAATTTTTTCCATAATAAGTCATATGACACCAAATCGCAGGCCTTAGACAAGTCAAGAAAACAGGCAAAGACTGGGGTGCTCCTATCAGTGTAGCATTTCACAGTTTGCTTGAGACACAAAATAGCGCTTTCGGTGGACAGACCTGGTTGAAAACCAAATTGTGCATTATTAAATTTTATATGACTACTTAAGTGTTCATCAAGCAAACTGTTCAGCACCTTTGCCACCACAGTAGCCAGTGAAATTGGTCTGTAATTTGTAAAGTCCGACAGATCTCCCGACTTGTTCTTAATAACTGGCACAATTATGGTTCGCATAAGGTCATCAGGCAGGTAAGAGTGGCTGAGACAGAGATTATATAACAAAGATAGGACCCTAGGTAGATGGATTCCCGCACACTGCAGATGCTCTGAGGTGATCAAAGAGATGCAACATATCTTCGCAGCGCCAATGAGTCGAGCCGATCGGAAAGGACTCAGTCGTTGACGATTCGAGCCGCTCTGCGCTGGATGTGGTCAAGTGGAAGGAGCTGGCACTGGAGAACCCCAGCCCAGAGATGGGAACAGTATTCCATGTGAGGCCGAACCTGCGCCTTGTAAAGTTGCAGGCGTTGTGCCGGCATGAAAAACTGTCCCGCTCTGCTGAGCACGCCAAGATTTTTAGAGGCCAATTTGGCCTTCTCTTCCAAGTGACCACGAAACTGCACGTCACTCGATATGTCGACGCCGAGGATTCCGATACTGGCTGAGGCAACAAGGGGAGTAACTTGAAACTGAAGAGATACGAAAAAGGGGTTCATTTAAGCGGTAAACGCGCAAACTTGTGTCTTCTGGGGATTGAACTGGACTAGATTTAGTCGCCCCTAATCCGAGACTTTGTTCAGCAAAGATTCGACTTCAGACACAAGTTTGTCCCGGTACTCGGCGACGTTTTCCCGAGAAATATTGGCACGGCCGGTGTATAGAGCATCACCAGTGCTGTCATCCGCATAGCAATGAATGCTACCGGTTTGCAACATATCATTGATATGCAGAAGAAACAACGTTGGTGATACCACGCAGCCTTGTGGAACACCAGCGTTAATAGGCTTGTAGTCGGAGCATGCACCGTCTATAACGACCTTGATATTCCGATCTGCAAGAAAGCTGGTGATCCAATTGCACAATTTCTCAGGAAGCCCATAGGAAGGGAGCTTCGAAGGCCTTCGCAATGTCCAAACTAACGGTCAATGCCTCCCCCTTGGACTCTACTGCCTCCACCCATCTATGAGTCAAGTAGACCAGAAGATCCCCAGCTGATCGACCCCGACGAAAACCGTATGGGCGGTCACTAATCAGCTGGTGATCCTCAAGGTACCGCATGAGGTGGCAGTTTATATCGGATTCCATTATTTTGGAGAACAAGGGGGTGATGGCTATAGGCCTGTAGTTGAACGGGTCTGAGCGGTCGCCTTTTTTAGGGATCGGGTGGACAAAAGCTGTCTTCCATGATTTCGGGACTACGCCTAGGGAGTAAGAGTACCGGAAAAGACGCGTTAGGACCGGTGCCAACTCCGGAGCACACGTCCTCAACACAATTGGGGGGATTCCTTCAGGCCCACTCGACTTGTGGATGTCCAGGGAGAGGAGTGCTTTGCGAACCAAGCGCTGTGAGAACAGCACATCCGGCATGAAGCACTCACACCGCGGGATGGTTGGCGGTGTTTTCCTCCCGTCATCAAGAGTCGAGTTGGACGCAAAAAGGGAGCCTAAAAGGTCAGCTTTGTCTTTTGCGGCGTGGGCCAGTGAGTCGTCCTCCCTGTGCAGAGATGGTAGTGATGGCTTACAGAAATTCCCTTGGACAGCCTTGGCGAGAGACCAGAATGCACGGGTTCCCGAAGGAAGGCGAACTAATTTCTCGCGAATTCTGTCTATGTGCTTGCCTGTCGATGTACTTTGCCTTGGCAATAACTCTTTTGAAGGACCTGGAGGCGAAGTTATACTTCTTTTTAAGTATGCTGGTGCTTACATCCCGAGTCGCCGAAGCAGCAGCCCAGGCTTGATAACACTCCTGCTTACTGCGTAATGCAGTCTCTTACAGGAGCGACCAAACCAAGGCTGAGATCTGCCTCCGATGGGTACCACAAATGATGGAATAAATAGTTCCATTCCCTGTAGCACCACATCAGTGACAGAGTCAGCAACAGCGCTGGGATCATCCGGCGAGAATCAAGCCCGCCCCCTTGGGTAGAATGCAAAGAAAGACCGCATTCCGTCCCAATCCGCCGACCTGTAATGCCCAACACGGCGGCAACCTGCAGAACGCAACCGCGAGGGGAGCGTGAGTGGCACCACACTCCGGATCAAACAATGGTTCGAAAAGCCAAGAGGGGCAACGACAGAAACCTGATATCCGTCTGGATGAGAGGTCAGCAGAAGGTCCAACAGGGAAAGTGTATGATCCTCAACATCTGGAATCCGCGTGGCGATGTAAACAGTTGTGTCAGACCATTTTTTTTTCGGGTGGAAATCCTCATGGACTACCTCCGCCTGGGGAAAGGTGGAGGAGCGTGCCGGACTTTTACCGGCTAAAACCACCCCGGTGTCTCCTCGCACGTGCGCGTGGGGCCACGGGAATCCAAATTCTTCCGCAGCCCCACACTGGTGCTGGCCCGGTCTGTCCGGGCCTTATCTCCTGAATGGGGTAGTGAGGTGTTCAACTACCCCGTGTATCGCCTCAGGGGCGCACGCCGACACCCGCGCTCGGGTTCATCGAATAGGGAGGATGGGGGCTTCCCCAAATCCCCCGCCCCTGGACCCATTCATGGGGACCGTAAAAGGGCGTTGTCCGCCCTTTTCCTGCACCCGGTGCGCCTTCTGCGGCCGGGAAAGGCAGTCGAGACCCTCCGCACTAAGGCTGGCAGCGACAGATCGCCTCTTACATCATTTGTGAGGACACGGCGCTGCTCTTCCCAAGCTACAGAATCGGCGAACGTGTGTTGCGCCGTGTCCTCCCCGCAATGGACGCAGTGGTGGCACCGAGCGTCCGGCTCCCTGTCTATGCAGTACAGGTACTTGCCGAAGCGGCTGCCCCGACAGCACCTACGTCACCCTAAACGACAGGGAGCCATGCCTTCTCCCGAGCGAGTCGTCGAGTACTGGCCGGATCGCCTCGACGGTAGCGAGGCCGCCGGTGGGGCGCAGAAGCCTTTGCCGCCATTCCACCACCAAGACATGACGGAGCTCCTCTCGGCGCAACGCAATCTGCCGCTGCACCGGCCTCGAGCCCTTCCTCGCGCCATCGATATAATGACGCGAGTACTTTCGCCTCTAGGTCCCAGGGCGGGGATCCGGCCAGGACGCAAGCCGCCTCGTAGGAAATCGTGCGATACCCGCGGACGACTCTGACGGCCATCGCCCTCTGCGTGCGCAGAATGGCGAGAGTGCTGGCCGTCATATCCATCGCCCACACAGGGGCCCCATACAGGGCCATGGACCGCACGATTCCCATGTACAACCGCCTACAGGCGGCGCTCGGGCCTCCCAAGTTTGAAAGCAACGTTGAAAGCGCGCCCGCTGCACCCATCAGTTTGGGCGCCAGCCGCCGGAAGTGGGGTCCGAATTCCCATCGGCTGTCGAGCACCAATCCCAGATAATTCATGTTGGACTCGACAGCTATCCGGGCCCCGCTGACCACGATGTGTGAGCCCGGCGACGGCGCGCGTCGAGGGCCATGGAACACCATGGCCTCCGACTTGTTTAGGGCCACCTCCAGGCCCAGGCGCCGGATGCGGTTCACCACTTGTGACACCGCAGCCGTGGCAACCAACGCTGCTTCCCTGTGCGAGCTCCCCAGGGCACTGACGAGCGTGTCGTCCGCATGTTTGCTTAAACGTGAACCGAGCCATTCGGCACGGTGGGCGATAAAATCGCCAAGGACCACAATCTCTGCGGATGGGACCTGTTGTAGCAAGGAATCTGTAGCCATTTGGACGTGGTCGATGAGTCGGTCTGTTTCGGCATTACCGCTATGGGACCTATAGAGGCACCCGTAGATGCATGGATGGTCGTCGCTGTCTACGCGTAACCAAAGGATGGACAGGTCCGAACCTTCAAGACCGCCGAGGCGTCGAGAACAGACGTCCTCTCTGACATACACGCAAACTCCAGCCTGAGGCACAAAGGAGTGCTCCAATTTGTACCCTGGGTAGGAGAGGTACGAAGTATCAGCCGGAGAGGACACCTGCTTCTTGGTCAGAAAGAGCAATGCCGGCTTCGCCGTCTCGAGATGGTAGTGGACGGCGTTTAGGTTCGAGTGAAGTCCCCTGATGTTGCAGAAATTCGCGGATAGAATACGCGGGGCAGCCTGAGTACCCACGCTCAGGAGTAGAATAACATGGTCGTGGATGCTCAGCGATGGATTCTCCAGGGAAGCTGGTACCCTCCTGGGGTACACACCTGTACCTGTAGGCGAAATCATCATCTATAGATCCCAGGAATAAAATATCATGAGGCAGGAGCCATGTCTCCTGCAACGCTACATATTCCTCTACAAGATGCAGGAGTGTACAAGCTTGATTGTGAGTGTGGTCTCTCATATATAGGGCAAACAAAACGATCTATAAAAACCCGCGTAAAAGAACACATAGCTGACGTGAAGCACCAACGTTCCGGGAAGTCTGCAGTTTGTGATCATATCCTAGACGGCCCCCGCCATTACATTAGATTTGATAAACCACAAATTCTCGCGAAAGAACATCGATTCCTGCCAAGGATGATACGTGAGGCTATTGAAATTAAAAAACATACTAATTTCAATAGAGAGGGAGGCTGGGTACTACCACCTGCTTGGGATCCTGTAATTCATAAAATTAAAACTAAACCCAAGCATACCACTGCAAGACTTCAAGATACAGTTAGTTCATTCTGCGTAGATCGGACCAAAATTATTAATTAAAAAAGCTGAAGGTACTCCGGTTTAACACTGACATCGGGACGTCAATCACCTCAGTCCCCCGTGACCACGGTTGCTGGAAAGCAACCAAAACGTCGGGAATATAAAATAAGTTAATTAAACGCGATAAAATCCGTAAAAATAGTTTTATTCAATGGATTTTAAGTTGTTTATGAATGCGCTTATATCATCTTCATCTAATAGGGTATTTAGGACTGGTTTGAAGTTCTTCCTGCTCTTTTTTGGGACACATAGCCGGACTGTAGCTCGCAAATTTCTATGATCGTACATGCCCCCCTTTAGGGACCTGCTGCGGTTCCTGGAGGAGCAGTGTAGGCAGCTGGAGAACGCAGCAGGCGCCGTCGAGGGCCCCCCGGCCGCCTCTCGAGCGGTGCCCAGGGAGAGGCGGAATCAGCCGGCCAAGGCGGCGCCCACCCCCCTGAGGCCGAGCGGAGCCCCCGCGGGAGGGCGCCCCCCAGTACCCTCCTATAGTGGCCTAGCGACCCGGGAGGCGCCTCCCTGCTCCTATTGTCGAGCATCCGACCACCGGGCGGCGTCGTGCCCGAAGTTGTTGCGCAAGCCGACTACGGCGAGGCGAACCATCGCCAGGGAGCGCCGCTGGTGCTTCTCGTGCCTGGAGAGGCATTTACAATGAGACTGCCCGCACCAGCGGCCCTGCACGCACTGCCAGGGTAACCACCACGTCATATTGTGCCTGGGTGCGCGCGGCTCGTCCTCTCAAGGCCCTGACAGCCCCTCGACTCCCACGGGCGGGGGCGCCCAGCCACGCCCACTGTCGGGCAACGCCCGGCGCTCACCGGTGGAGCACAGCGTCCCTCGTTCTGAGGGGAGTCCCTCCCCCGATCGGTCTGGGAGTCGTTCCCCCAGGGGCGGGGGGGTCTTCACCCCCCCTCAGCGAGTTGATAGTGGATTCGCAGCCACTCAGCGGTCAGCTAGACCGTTCTCACCCCCGTTGGCTGAGTGGCCGCGACTGGAACGCCGCCCGCCCCCCTTTGGTCGGTGCCGGTACTACCGGATTCCGGAGACTGCTTATCGGCCCCGGGCCTTGGAGCCGAGGATCCCCGAGTTTCCCCAGATCGGCCCGTTCGGGGAATTCCAGTCAAGGGTCATCGAGACGCCGTCGGAGTGCCGCTCTCGGGGGCCCCGGTTCGGGTGCCGGTCCAACAGAGGCAGCTGCAGATAGGAGGCTGCTGCCCTAGCTTCCGCCATGGCCGCCTCCACTGAGCCTATAAGTCGTGAGCAGTCCACCTGTCAAACTGTTCTATTGCCGACGGCCTCAGTGAAGGTTTACAACCCGAGCGGCGACCGCTTAACGGTTCGAGCTCTATTGGATTCGGGTTCCCAACGTAGTGTGGCCTCTACTCGGTTGGTGAGAAGACTGGGGCTCCCCTGGAGCTCTGAATCACGTCCGATGGTAGGTATCGGAGGTGCCGAGCCTCCTGCTCCTAGGGGACAAGCGGAGTTGGTGTTCAGCCCTGACAGCGAACACCTTCGTATTTTAGTCAAGGTAAATGTCCTCGACGACATTGTAGGGTTCCTCCCTAACGTTCGTATAAATGACAGCGCTGTGCGCTGTGCGTCGGCTTTGAGTTATGTGGTCTCCTCCCCCTCCGACGGCCGACCCGCTCTCCGTCGTGGGCGTGTCTCTATCGGACGCCGTCCAGCGGTTCTGGGAAATTGAAGAACCACCACATGCAGCTCGAGTCGACCCTCTGGACCGTGAGTGTGAGTTGTTCTACCAGAACAATACCGGCCGGCGGGTTGACGGTCGTTTCGTCACTCGCTTACCCTTTCTGGACTCACGCCCCTCTTTGGGTCAATCTCGTACTCGTGCAATCTTTTGCAGCAGCGCGTTAAGTGGTCTGACAGGACGGAGCCTCCTCGGGTGGGAGACCTCGTGTTGATTAAAGAACCAAACGCTCTATCTTTGTATTGGCGCCGTGGGCGCATTGTTAAATTGTCGTATAGAGCGGATGGGGTACCTAGGGTGGCCGAGGTTTTAGTCGGAGATTCGGTCTTGCAACGTGCCATCGCGACCTTGTCCCGTTTGCCAATCTACTCGCGGACCTAATGCCTTATGTCCGGGGCGGGGGGTTGTTTAGGCAAGAATATTTATTTTTATTATTTACCTTCGAAACGTATTCTAACGCGCGCGCTTGGCCTCGATATCGAGGTCACCTCTCCCTCCCCCCTGCCGCCTGACGCGGCGGGATAGGACTTTTCGAGAATTAGTGTAGAATTTCTTGCGAGCTAGACTGACGTTTTTTCCGCTCCTAACTTGTTGAGAAAGTATCAACCCGCGTAAATCGCTGTGAGAACCGTATCGTTCATCAGGAACTACTAACTCCGTTAAATTCATTGTGCAATCATAATAGTGATTTACCTCTGAAATACTACGTGTAGCTGTCCCATTTCGTGACAACCCAGGAAGAGTGCCTCCAGAGGGGGAAAGTACCGAAGATACCAGCGCATACCTTCTTCCAGACGGCATTGCGTCATCCAGATCAGGTGCCGTCAACATACACGCACATACAATTACACATACACTCACGACACTGTCATCAGCCGGGCCGGTCTCGGAGGGTCGTCTCCGCTCCGGGAGCAGGTGAGTGCCTTATCGTATTGACATTTCCCCTCTTTGTTTCCATCAGAAATTTCCACGTGGCCACATTGAGCCCGACCTACGTCTGCTCGGGAAGTCTTCAGCTCATGGGCCCCTGAGGATCTGATCCTTTAAGGGAGCAGCCGTAGGCCGTAACAGTAATTATTAAAGTCCAGTTTAAAGAAAATCGCAAGTTTTAAAGACTTCAAGTTATATAATTAGGATGAAGTAATAAAGTAGAAAAAATATGTTGCATACGGCATTCGTGTACACCGCCTTTCCCTGATTCAGCAGAGCTTACCACTAGTAGATAAGATTGAATTTGGGTAAAAGAATTCTTTACATTCCCCTTATATACCTAATCTATATAATATTATGAAATAAAACACTAAATTAAAATAAAATTGGACGTTTTGAATAATACCCTAAAATCAGCACGATTCGGTTCAAATTCAAGCACTGGTCGTGAAGAGAACTGCGGTTGAGGCTCGGCGAGCGCACGGAGCTCTGCCAACGGCTCGATTCGCCTGGACGGAGTCAAAAGCTTGGTCGCTACAAATAATTTCAATTGATTATCATTCTAATCTTTTTACATAATTTCTGAATTAGCCGTATGTCAGTGTGAAAAAAAGTAAAAAAGTTTGCCATACAACTATCTTGCCAGACCTACGGCTTTTCGTGCTTACCGAGGCATAGGGGTGAAACACTATCTATTTCCTGACTCTGAGCTGCTACTAAGAATTACTTGAGAGGCCCGACGAAAACTCAATGGCCCGACCGCGGATTCAAACCCGGGACCACGTAATTAGCAGTCGCGCTTATTATCACTAGGCCAACGATTTAGTCTATATAATAAATGATTTAGCCATGCGAAAGGTTAGAATTAAAATACAATAAATAGTAAAGTAAAGTAACAGCCTATATACGTCCCACTGCCGGGCACAGGCCTCCTCTCATTTCTAAGACAGTTTTAGGTCAAGGAAGTGTCCGCCGCGCCAAATGCATGTTGGCGAATTTCACATGTCTTTCAAAATATTTTTTCTTATTGTTCAGACATGCTGGTTTCCTCACGATGTTTTTCTTTATCGCCGAGCAAAAAATTAAATTTACAATTAACAATTTCATTGGCGCCGACCGGCGGGAATCGAACCCAGGTTGCTCGCATACTGTGAAACTCACAGTTAGCACTTAGCCTCTGAGCTACCATGGCTCTAAATAAATAAATAAAACACGAGATATTAAATTAAACACGTTGAATAGAAACATTCTTAGAATTAGTTTTATTCAACTTTTAATCAACAGAATCTAGGGATATTTTATATTTCATCAAATGTCTAAAAATCTATAAAGAATTTTCGAATATACTAAATGGATGAATGATAGGTTATTTTAAGATTTTTGATAAAAAATAAAAAATATTTCGTAATTTTTTGTTTTAAATAAAAATGTTAATTGTTTAATCGCCGTCGAAAATTACTATGATAAAAAACTTCATATCTTCTTATAAAACTATTATTTTTTATTAAAATTGAAAAATTCTTATAAGTAAAATCTAATTATTAATAATCAGCGTTGCCAAATCTTACATTAATTACACATCGACATCAGCTCTATTTTTTTTTTGTTTTATTAAAGACAACAGACACTACAGACACTACACGCTAATTACATAACCAACACCGTTATCCACAAAAATACCGTAGTAATTAAAACGCTAAAAGGCACATATAATGCAAAAATAAAACAAGAGGCAAAAATGCATACCTAGCCGTTAACAGCAAAATCATGAATGTTACATGTATTACTAGAAAAGAAAAAAAAACAATTTTGATTAAAGTTATAATAACATAAGAAGAAAAGAAAAAGAAAAATTACAAGCTATTCAATACAAGCTTTATAGCTTTCCTTAATTGAGGTAGTGACATGGTAAATAAGTCTACATCGGAGAAGCTGTTGTCATACAGTTCCATTATGCAAGGCAAAGGCGCACGCTTGCCCGCATTTATTTTACACAGATTAAAGAAAGACAAACGATGCACGTGAGTGTTTCGTATTTTTTGAGAGCAACTTGGTACACGAAGGTATGTACAATTGACAAATTGAGGACAATCGAAAAAGTTACGACAAATTTTGTAAAGAAAAATACAATCAAGCAGTAATCGCCTATAACTTAAAGTTGTTAAAGAATAATTATGCAAGAGGTTATCATAAGAGGACCAAGAACGGTAACATCTATAGTTTACAGAGCGTAAATATTTACTTTGAACCGATTCTAGTAAATCACGATACATTTGGTAAAAGGGATTCCAAACTTGTGTGGCATATTCCAATTGAGGTCTTATAAGAGATTCATATAGCAGTAGATAAGAGCCAGATTTTTTAAATGGCTTACAAGTTCTCATGACAAAACCGTAAAGTTACAAGGCTTTGTTGATAATGTGGTTAATTTGGTAATCAAAATGAAGTTTGGAATCAAAGAACACGCCAAGGTATTTAATAAGCGAGACGTTCTCAAGAGGATTATTAGAAAGAAAATATTTGAATTCATTTATATTGCTGTTTTCGAGAGTCATTACGAATCGTCTCGGGCGCATACTTGACGACTTCCAGCCTTCCGAACAAGCCGGTTTTCGAAAAGGCTTTAGCACCATAGACCACATACATACCCTTCGGAAAATTATACAGTAATCAGAGGAGTACAATTTGCCACTATGTCTGGCGTATGTGGACTATAAGAAAGCCTTTGATTCCGTCGAAATTTGGGCGGTGCTGCAGTCCCTTCAGCGGTGCCAAGTTGACTGTCGGTATATCGAAGTGCTGAAGTGTTTGTACAGTAGGGCTACGATGGCTATCCGAGTACCGAACCGCTGCATTGGAAGACGTTTTCAAGCTTCTGGACTGGAAAGGATACGGTATCAACATCAATGGCGAGTACATCACTCACCTTCGATTTGCCGACGATATACTCCTTATGGCAGAATCGCTGGAGGACCTAAGCACTATGCTATGTTGACGAGTATGTTTACCTGGGACAAATAGTCCGACTAGGTAAGTCCAACTTCGACCGAGAGGTCAATCGTCGGATTCAACTCGGTTGGGCAGCGTTCGGGAAATTACGGCACATCTTCTCGTCAGGTATACCTCAAAACTTGAAAACGAGACTGTACAACCAGTGCGTGTTGCCAGTGATGACATACGGAACTGAGACGTGGTCCTTCACTGCTGGCCGGATGAGGAAGCTCCAGGTCGCTCAGCGAGCTATGGAGAGGGCTATGCTCGGAGTTTCTCTGCGTGATAAAATCAGAAATGAGGATATCCGCAGTAGAACCAGAGTGACCGACATAGCCCAACGGATTAGTAAGCTGAAGTGGCAATGGGCCGGCCATATAGCTCGAGGAACCGACAACCGATGGGGAAAAAAGGTTCTCGAGTGGCAGCCGCGTACCGGTAGTTGTAAGCTGTTATTTAAAAATAAAGTCCCGCTGGGTTTCTTGCTGGTTCTTCCCAGGACAGAGGTTTTTTTTTTCGAACCAGTGGTAATCATACAAAAGAGTGACATCGAATATTCATACTTTAAATTAAATGGTCGATGTCTTGCTGCGGTATGAGGTCCGATGTTATTTGCAACTATTCATAAATTTGTTGATCGGTCGTCAAATTTGGTGGGAAATCTCTCAAAGCTTTTCGTTGTAACATGTCCTAGGCATGCTCGATAGGATTTAAGTCGGGACTGTACAAGACTGTGCAGGCCAATCCAAAACTTCAATATCGTGGTCTCGGATGAGAAGGAGCATTGTCGTGCATGAGTAGAAATTCCTGGCCCATTTGGATTCTGTGTGGGACAATAACAGGTTCTGCTACCTCCGCGTAGTATTTTTGTGCTGCCTTGGATTGGATTTGGCCAAACGAGCTGGGTGTATCCGCCATAACCAATTCCTGCGCACACCATGATTATCCCGCCATGGTATGAGTGGACCTCCTGAGGGTGCCGTAGACGGCTAACACTCCCTGGAGTTCTCCAAACGCGTGTACTTCGTGAATCTGGATGAAACTCAAAACGGGGTTCATCGGTGAACAGCACCAAAGACCATTCTTCGTCACTCCATGGTAAATGCTCCCGAGCCCACGAAAGCCGTCAACTACGATTGCCACGTCGCCATGCTGGAACACGTGGTGGTCTTTGAGCATGAAGAATAACTTCATGTTACCTCGCGCGGTTTGGTCGCTTACCGGCAGCTGGTGGTTCTCCTGGATCCTATGTAGTAGTTGCATCGCTTTGATATTGGGTTGTCATCTGGCGGTCATTTGGAGTGCCTCTGCGTAGCACGAGATATAACACGATATCCATGTGCCGTTTAACCACATCCCCAGTACTGCGATAACGTGACCACAAACTTGATATCACGTTTGTGGTCACGTGGTGGGTAACCCCTTGGTTAGCCTGTGGTGTAGGGCCGGCCCACTCCGAGTGGACTTGGCGAGCCCACTTCGGATGTGTGTCGGTGGGCTGCGGCGTGCTCTCTCCCCCTACCGCTGCAGGCGAGGTGGAGTCGCGGGGGAAGAGGAGTGTTGGTATGGCTATGCGCCACTCGCCCTATTCTCCGCGGCACTGACGGGGCCGCACTGTTTATGTGGCGGTGGTGGGGCCGCGAGGGAAGAGGGGGAGAGTGTGGGTATTGCGAGTTGCCGATAACCCGTCCTTGCATCCGCGAGGCGGGTATGCGTAGGCGTTCCCCATGTAAAAAAAAGGTGTGTAGGGCCTCAGCAACGACGCGTTGAATAGCACAATTCTCTAACGTGCCCACAGCTCGTATTATTCATCTCGACTCAAATGACGACGTGACATGAGTCTTAAAGCACACACGGAACGTTAAATTAAAAACTAAAAACAATCTAATCCCTTTTCATTAATTAATATCAGTAGAACAATTTTAATTTTCTTTGACGTAACAAGTTACTAACAATTTTGCCGCCGTATTTAGTTTTTGCTTTTGTTTTTTTTTATTTACATTTTTAAATTTTGAAAATAGAATAAAAGAGGTTTCAATCTGTATATAAACTTTTTATGGAAAATAAAAGAATTTAAACTACAAATCGTATATAATTTAGGATTAAGGTATCCCTAAATTCTGTTGATGTGTGTATGTTAAAACAACGATGAAGTCGAAATATTTCTGTTAATGCAATTTTACAATAAATTGCTTATACATATATAACTATATTGCGATAGCCAGAGAATAAGCGCAAACCTTTGCTTAACATAATATAATGTTGTCTTGATTGAAATTGAGAATTTTAACTCTAAGCTGAATTTTTTTTTCTGAATATGGACCTTAAATTCTGTGTTGAAGTCTATTGAAGTCATACAGACAGACTTCTGCATCTACCTCTATTTAAATCAGCTTAGATCTTCATCTAATAAATTCGTTTTCATATTTGACATCTTCTTGTTTCTTGGATGAGCGCCGTTTTCCTATAGATGGGCAAGATTTTGGCATACTCAAAATTATTTTTCAAAGGATCTCGTAATACAATAAAAAGTAGTAACTTTTCTTTCCGTAGGCCCGAGCTTAATGGAAAAGAGGCATTCCATTTTAGTCTTAACGCATCTGCATTTTGATCCCTAATTGAAGATAGGTGTAGATGTAGTAATTCTTTAGGTTACAGCATCTACTTACCATCAGTATGGACTGTGTGCTCGTTTTTCATCTTATTCTATAAAAATAAAATCAGTGGCTAAGTAATTCTAGACATTCTAGACATACATTACAGGCAATTCTGCAGAATTCCAACAAAATAAAAGTCATACAATTATATCATATAAGAGGAGGCAATTGAAGTCAACCCTATAAGCATCCTATCATGACCTATTATGACCTACAATGAAGCAGTTAAAGACTGCTACTTCAAAAATTAAAACGACGAAAAGTTCCAGTACTTGTTGAATTAGAAACGGCCAAAACCGTAACAATCTCTGTTTCGAATGTTGCGGTAGTCTCGATATCCGAAGTAGCATCACCGTTGAGCAGCCGGTGCTCGCTGCACAGCTTCTCGCAGTCTCCTCTGGAAATAGTATAATCTCGTAAGCGTTGGAGAGTGGCCAAAATACCTGGGTACTCAATTTCAAATATTTTTATTTAAAATTAGCTTTTACAAAGCACTTTTTTAAAGGCAAACGCTACGCCATCATTTCAGCAAGTCTCTGCTGCGGGGTGAAGCGGCAACAAACAAAATATGTTGGTCCAGTTTTAATCAAGTTTTTATTAATGACTGTAGATAGCGGAGGGGGAAAATTGAAAGAAAAATAATATACAAATTCCGATTACTTGATTACTTATTAGATAAAGATGAACACGCTTTTCTGAGTATTCACCTTTGTTCAGTTCTGAACATTGCATCGCAATGACACTGTAACTGCGTTACCAGAACTCACGTACACCAACAGTTATGCTGAATAATCTTAGAAATGACGTAAATTAGTGACCTCAATGAAATTGTATAAATTGTAAATATTTATACAATAAAACCCTCTTTCAACGCTGGACGACGTCTTCGTTACTACCGCTGAGACTCCTGGTAAGACCCCTCTCATTGCGGCCAAGACACCTTTAGCCGTCAGAAACTCTGATCAGTCTTGTAAGTATGTTTGACTGGCAGTGAGAGAACCCCATCATCTAACTCTGACATCCTGTCTCTGTCCGTCAGTAACCTTATCTCATGGTGCAGACATCCCGTACTTATCTAATTTATGTACATATATTTATGTGGTAGGGCTAAGGTATTATGGACTGCTAGGGACTGCTGTAGGGTTTAATACTCCTTCTACCATATTCATGTGCAGCCAGGTAGTAGAGCTATTGAAGGGTAACTAAGTTAATATTTAAACCAAACTACCTGACTGTAGAACCCTAGAGTGGCAATTTTAGGTTGAATAAACGGAATAACCGCCTACTATTGGGCGGGGTCGCCATGGTTGAGAAGGTTGCTATCGTGACGACATCATCACTAACCAGTGGAAAAGACATTATACCAATTGAGTAATATATTATACAGTTGCATTCAAGGTGCAGACCGTCCGCATGCGCGCAGTGTATGTGCGCAGTGCAGGAAACTGCGCCAGCGCGCGACGCTAAGCACCACGTGAGCGTCTCCGCAACCGCCGCCCCCCTCTGCACGCTCCGCCCCACGCTCCGACCCACGCTCCACCTCACCCTCCACCGCACGCTCGGGCGCGGACTCGCTGAGCACGCCACACAGCTTGCCGCCGCACACCACGCCCGCTCCGCGGTCCTCCTGGCATACGAAACTCGTTCTACAACATATCCACTGGCAACAATTTGCGTTGAAATCGAAAAAATAGACTAGCCTTTGGTCTTTTTAAAAGAGTTTGAGTAAAGCTGTTGTTTAAAGAAATGATCAATGTCACAAGAGGCACCTATTTGCTCTTGTAAATAATCCAACATCTTATCAATCTGGGAAAACTTTGAACAGCAAACATTTTCCCTTATAAAAAATATTTTATATGACTTCGATTGACGAAAAGGACACAAGTATGAATTCTTCCTTATAGGGTCGGATATTTTATGTGCAGCACAAAGAAAATCGCCCATGGACGCGTCCTCTGTGAAAGGCTGGTGTTCACGTGTATCTATACATAAAAATAAAATTGAAGATTCTGTCTATAAAATATTAAACAACTGGCTAAATTAAAATATTAAATAACTTCCAAAGTAACGTTCTCTGCTTACAGGTTGATTGGTAGATAGAGAACGCCTTAAAGCGTTAAGTCCACCTTCGTACACGTTTATGTAACGAAGTTTAAATAAATAAATAAACTGACTCAGTCGTTAAAATTCATGTCTGTCTGTCTGTCTAGACTTATCTTCGCATTGTGATGACACTTTATGAACACATAGGTCAAAAGGAGGGATATAGGCTATATTATTTTATCCGAATAACTAGAAGCATGTTCTATAAAAAAAGACTGATGAAATAAACGGTCTTTGTTTATCTTAAATCTTAATCACGCCACGATTTTTCTGCGATTTATTAATATCCTTTCTTGATGAAGCTGGAGCGGATCTAGAGTTATTAATATTTTATAAATATACCGATCACTCGTGAAGTCTGAAATAAAATCAATCAAAAAATCTTATCAAAAGGTATTAGGTAAGAACGAAGCTTGCTGAATAATACGTATAGTGAAACACCGATAGTCTCACCAAAATAAACCCTGATATAAAATGATTGAAACTATCACTCACCGCACAAAGCTCGTCGCCAGTAAGGCACAACGCACGATCGCGGATGTCGGTCCAGTGCGGCACGCGTGTGGCGCAAAGTGTTTCGGCGGCCAGCGTCGCGTCCACAACGCGGAAGCGAGCGCGGTGCGGCCCGCTGCCCGCCACGGCGCGCACCGCGTGACATGTTGTCTCTTTCTCGCACTCATTTCGCGACGTCGCCATGAGTATGGGACGCGCTTGCGCTCCAGCACCAAATGGTGACTCCAGCTCGAGCACAGCGAGGTCGTCCAGCGCCAGATCTTCGGCACCTCGCTACCAATCGTATAAAATATATTGACTCTACTGCGAGTATTAGTCGTCGATCGCCCCGGCTTAACGATTAGTGTAATAATTTTCGGGTTTTCATTCAGTATTTTTTATTCATTGCAGCAAGGTCTACTGCTGTATTAGGATTGTTAATAGGAAGGATATGTTGCCATAGTTGCCACGCTTGGCAAGCAGTATTTTTTGTTATTTTGAATGTTTATCAGGAAGTTACCGTTACCCATTTCCTGTTTTTCCCCTCTGTCACATCTTTCGACACCCACAGAATTTTATGAAGCAGGTACTTAGTGGATTATCTTAAGCCGCCCGATACATCGTAATTTGAGGGTCAGGTAAACGATATTACAATATAGAGAGTAGAGACTAAATGAAATATACACGGCGCGGGTCGCCAGCTAGCGCGATGCGTGCGATGCGCCTCGCGGTGTCTGCGGTGGAGGCGGCGCGGTGCAGAGCGGGCGGCGGGGCGGGCGGCGGGGAGGCGGCGGGGGCGGGCGCGGAGGCGGGCGCGGGGACGGGGCGCGCCAGCAGCGCGGCGGCCAGCGCCCACAGCTCGCGCGGCAGCTGCGCGGAGCGGCCGCGAGCACACCGCGCTGATGTCACCACCGTGCGCAGGGACACCAGCGACGCCGCGCAGTGCCACCCGTCCTCGTGCTCCACCACGATCTGAAAGAAAAAGTTCAATCGACTAATTGGGTACAATACTCATGTGGTTATAACCGTTTGCAAGAGTTCCTCTTATTTAATTACTTTCAATAGCTTTCCCGCAAGATGCAGGCAAATTGATCGAATTGTTGGAATTTGTAACATTGACAACAGTTGGTTCCTTGGTTTTTGAAACGGTTAAGTTAAACAAATGTATATGGCTACATCTGTTTTCAGAAGACCGGTGTAGCAATAAATTGAAGTTTCTTTACTAACTTCAGATTTTGACTAACGAAAGAACATGAATTGTGACGGAACCTTAATGGACAATATTGAATAATATTCCTACACAAAGCACAAAAATGAAAGCCGGTTCTCAGACAAAATAAAAAGTCAAGACAGTCAGCCGAATATCGCACTGAGGACTGTAAAACTACGCCTCGCCTTGTATATATACAGTTACACGCACACACATATAACGAAACTACGCCTTACCTTGTCAGTCGAGTTATTCCGGCGCGCGGAGTGTCACGCTAAAAGCCGAATTGTGTTGTGAAAGGGTGTACACGAGCATAAAATGCACCGTACAATTGTCAAGTCATCATTTCACAACGTGACCTCTTTTACATATTTCCGCGGCAAATGTATTTTAAAATCAGTTCGCTTATAGCCATCAAGAGCATTACGCGTACTCATTATCAGTAGTTCTAGGTGTTCAGGCCAAATCTTAACATTTAAAGCTTGCATTCAAAACGCTCGTCTCGGCGCGTTCATCCGATGGTATTTAGGTCACCGCCTGGCCCTCTTTCCCGCGCGCGTCTCTCCGCTCACCCTCGGTCGCCTGACGTGTGGGCGATCAACCAGACGGCCGTGTCCTTGGGAGTCTTAAAGTTACGCTCAAATCGTTAGGTCGCGTGAATACAGCCTCTTATTGCGTTGTCTTTTTCGTGCGTTTACGTGACAACGAGGCTTTTCTTGATTTTTGAAAAGCTAAAAATTTGTGACCCGAGAGAAAATCGCGTTCGTCTTCGATCATAATTTTGTGCTAAGTGACGTTAGACTTGAGTTCACATATAGGTGAACGCCCACTGGAGTGATCGCACATTGTGGAGCAGAGCAGCACATGTGGGTCTGCTGTCCGATTACATCGGTGACGTCAGGTTACATTTGAACACTTTCTCACACCACTTACACCCACCTACTTACTCCCTGACGGTACCTTGTGGTCGACCCTCCCTCCGGAACTCGGTAAGTTTGTGTTTGCTTATCAGCCATTACATAATAATTATCCATAGGCCATTTGGGCCCGAACTCTCTGGTTGCCCGTCGAGTGGGCTACTCATGGACCCTAGTCCAGTCGACTTCTGTCGAGGCAACTGAGGACCGTAATAGTTTCTGGTAGCAGAGCGTGGTTGATTGTTTCTCCAATCACGCCCGGCCGTAATATAAAAAAAAATTGTTTTTGTTTTTTTTTTGTTTTGTTAGCGGATCGGTGGTTAGAACCACGCCCGTTAGGCTGCGCAAGCAGGAGTGTAGTTTAGGGTTAGGTACCTACGCGTCAGGTATTTCGGGTAAGTAGATTAAATTGCCGAAGGGTCGGTCGCCTGAGCGAGGAATCTTTGCTGACCGACTGTAGTGTGTACTTGCCGTGTAGTGTAATTTGTATTTAATTTAATTTAATAGTAATTGTACTTAGTAGTGATGCCATCACAAAAGCCACCGCCGCTTCGCCTGCAGGCGGAGCTGCGCTGGGCCGCGGATGCCCATACTTTGATAGGGCGACCCGATAGGGTCCATAGTTTAGAGAAGCGGCTAGAGCAGGTCGCGGCCCGAAGGGCCGTAGTGGAGGAGGCTTACACTGAGCTCGTGGCCTCGGATGTGGAACAGAAAGTCCTAGACTCCTGCCTCGCGGACTACGAGCAATTCTTTTCGCTCACGGACGACTTGATCGAGGCGGGGGCCAAGTAAGCTAATGAAGCGCGTGAAGCTCGGCTGAGTGGCCTGCCCGAGTCCCCTCGGAAACAGCCTACTCAGCTGTTCGGACGACTCCCAACTCTGGACCTGCCAAGGTTCTCCGGGGTCCTCTCCGACTGGCTGACCTTTGTTGGTATTTTTGATAGCCTAGTGGACGCCCGGAGGGACTTTACATCAAACCAGAAGATGGCGTACCTCCTGGCCTCACTGGAGGGGGAGGCCCTGGGCGTCGTCGGCCATTTGAAATTGTCAGACGACGCCTACCAGACTGCCCGGGATCTCCTCGCCGGAAGGTACGCCAACGTCCAGCGAATTGCGGACAAATACGTTAGGCAGCTTCTATACCTCCCGCTGCTTAGGGACCGGGCCAGACTACGTCCGGACGTCGTAAATCCAGTCGTGGTGGCCTGTAATTCGTTGAGGCGGCTGGATTTACCGTTGGACAAATGGTCCTTCTTGTTGCTCCACATAGTGCTGTCCCGCCTGCCTCTCGAACTTCGGATCCATTTTGAGAAGAGGTACGGCGGGGACGGCGCCTCCTATATTCCGCCCTTCAGGGACCTGCTGCGGTTCTTGGAGGGGCAGTGCCGGCAAATTGAGAACGCAGCGGGCACCGTCAACGACCTACGGGTTGCCAACCAATCCGTGCCCAGGGAGAGGCGGAATCCGCCGGGCAAGTCGTCGCCAACCCCCCTAAGGCCGAGCGGAGTCCTCGCGGGAGGGCGCCGCCCCCTACCATTTTATAGCGGCCTAGCGGCCAGGCAGGCGCCCCCCTGCTCCTATCATCTTATAGCGGCCTAGCGGCCAGGCAGGCGCCCCCCTGCTCCTATTGTCGAGCATCCGATCACCAGATGACGTCGTGCCCGAAGTTATTGGGTAAACCGGTCCCGGCGAGGCGAACCATCGCCAAGGAGCGCCGCTGGTGCTACTCGTGCTTGGAAAGGCACCTACAACGAGACTGCCCGCACCAGCGGCTCTGTCCGCACTGCCAGGGCATCCACCATGCCGTTTTGTGCCTGGGTGCGAACGGCGCTTCCTCTCGGGGCTCTGCCAGGCCCTCAACTCTCACGGGCGGGGGCGCTCAGCCACGCCCTCTGTCGGGCGACGCTCGGCGTCGAGTGGGCCCTAGTCCAGTCGACTTCTGTCGGGGCAATTTATAATTTGTAAACTTATCCAAAATATATTTTTATCCAACTCATCAAGCGTTATCAGTCAATCAGCCCCTTAGTGTCGGTACAACCCCGAACATTGGTCCTTCGAGCTTTCCGAAAAAGCGGGACCTTGGCACGTGTGCCCTTGTTGCGGTGTGGACGTGTCAATGTTTCCGCTCAGTAACCTATCGGATTTTTTCGAACACGTAGCGCATAGTTGCGTGATTGTTACTGTGCTATCAAGAAACCAGTAACGCAACAAGTATCAAGGCAGTGTGCGATCAAGGTGCACGCCTGCTTATGGTAAACGAAGTCTCTGGTTATCATCCGTCGGTGAGCGTGTCTGCTCACATTCGCCTATCAGTAAATATCAAGTAAGATCATTTAACGGTGGTAAAGCTACGCAGCAGCTTTTGCTGTTGCACGTATGGGCCAGCTCAAGCCGGGTTAATACCACGACCTCACAGAATACCGGCGTGAAGTAGAAGCTCTGCTTCTGCGTTTCGTCTGGTGAGTGCAGGTGACCGGAGGCCCAATTCCCTACCCTCCATCAACATGGTAGCGGAATTAAATCATAGACTACCCCAGGAGGGTACCAGCACCCCTGGAGAATCCCTCGCTGAGCATCCACGAACATGCTACTTCACTGCTGAGCGTGGGTGCACGGGCTGTGCTATTCTGGGGGGGGGGGCTTTGCTCTTTCTGACCGAGCCGCAGGTGTCCTCTCCGGCTGATACTTAGTATCTCTCCTACCCGGGGTACAAATTGGACACTCTTTTGTGCCTCGGGCTGGAGTTTGCATATACGTCAGAGAGGACATCTGTTCTCTACGCCTCGGCAGTCTTGAAGTTTCGGACCTGTCCATCCTTTGGCTATGCGTAGATAGCGACGACCATCCGCGCATCTACGGGTGCCTCTATAGGTCCCATAGCGGTAATGCCGAAACAGACCAACTCATCAACCACGTCCAAATGGCTACAGATTCCTTGCTACAACAGGTCCCATCCGCAGAGATCGTGATCCTTGGCGATTTTAACGCCCACCAAGCCGAATGGCTCGGCTCACGTTTAACCGATCATGCGGGGAGATCTCTTTATGATTTTGCCTTGGCATATGGTCTGACACAACTGGTTACTTCGCCTACGCGGATTCCAGATGTGGAGTATCATACACCTTGCCTGTTGGTCCTTCTGCTGACCTCTTATCCGGACGGATATCAGGTTTCTGTCAATGCCCCTCTCGGCTCTTCGGACCATTGTCTGATCCGGAGTGTGGTGCTACTCACGCTCCCCTCGCGGTTGCGTTCTGTAGGTTGCCGCCGTGTTTGGTATTACGGGTCGGCGGATTGGGACGGAATGCGGTCTTTCTTTGCATCCTACCCATGGGTGCGGGTTTGTTTCTCGCCGGATGATCCGTCACTGATGTGGTGCTACAGGGAACGGAACTATATATTCCATCATCTGTGGTACCCATCGGAAGCAGATCTCAGCCTTGGTTTGGTCGCTCCAGTAAGAATGCATTACGAAGTAAGCAGGAGTGCTATCAGGCCTGGGCTGCGGCTACGGCGACTCGGGAAGTAAACACCAGCATGCTTAAAAAAAAGTATAACTTCGCCTCCAGGTCCTTCAAAAGAGTTATTGTAGTTGTAATTATACAAAACAGTGACTTTCAATAAGTGTTATTTATAATCTATATTGAATAAAAAAGTTTCTGTTTCTGTTTCTGTTTCTATTGCCAAGGCAAAGTCAGAGCACATAGGCAGAACTGGCGAGAAACTAATTCGATTTCCTTCGGGAACCCGTACATTCTAATCCCTCGCCATGGCTGTCCAAGGGAATTTCTGTAAGCCTTCACTACCATCTCTGCACAGAGAGGACGACTCACTGGCCCACGCCG